CATGGACAACATCTCCCATCCCCTCTATGACATGCATGTAGAAATGAAGAGCACATTCAGCAATAGACTGATTCAACCACGGTGTGACAGGGAGCGCTACAGGAGGTCATTCTTGCCTTCTGCCATAAAACTGTACAACGCATCCACCTTGCGTCTGGGCAGAGGCAACATTGACAGTGACATGTTTCTGGACTGAACAGTAAACTGATACATCTGTTCTTTTTCTTTTCCCGTTTACAACCGTTTTGTGCAATATATGCCAGGGACCTGTGCAATACATTTATATTTATAGTCCTATTGTGCAATATGACTTTTTTGTGAACTGTTCTGTTCTGGTTTGTTCTTTGTGTGTTCTGGACTGTGAGTAACTCTTCTTAGTGCACTTCTCACTGTACTGATTGTATTGTATGTATTGTATTATTATTATTGTATCATTCGTTACACTGTGGCTGTGTTGTCTGTGTTAAGCTGCTGTTGCACTGCAATTTCCCTCACGGGATCAATAAAGTATCTATCTATCTTTCTTGTTTTGTGTTACAATACATGGATTTTGAAATACCTTGTATTGTCATTTTGTGACCATCACCTAAAACTGATCAATGACCCACACTTGGTGTAAAGCCAAGATGCCTGAAACACTTTGAAGACTGACTAGCTCAACTGAGTTACATACAGTACGTGGTAGCCATGTGACTATATGTTATGAATGCAGACACACTAGCGTTTCTATGAGTTATTCCATTTGACATTAATATTTATTACTGAAGTTTATAGATGCTATATAACATTATGTAAATTGCGGGTAAATGAAGACATTTTCCTTTTTTAGACTTTTTTGAGTCTGGATAGCACTGCAAATGTGTCCTCTTATTTGTAATTTAAATTCTCCAACTTTGCTTTTAGTTGTATCCTCACCACCTCTGAGAGCCCCAAAGGCCACAATAGTCACTGAGCTACCTGGAGTGGAGAGCTCTGTTCACTAATCCCAACTCTTCCTTCAAAGGTCGTTAGCTAATTGAGTCTTGCTGCTTAAGGAACCCTTTCCGTTACTAATTGTTGAATTTTGATTTAAATTTCTACTTTATGTGTGCTTTAAATGCACTTATTTCCACTGTACATAGAAGTGTTTACAGAGGCGTTTTCAAATATCAAGGTATTTAAAACAGGAGATGAACTGAGTGGTGGACAGCATGTTCACTAGACATTTATTAATCTAAAAATGTACCCCATTGATACCCCATTGATGTGTACCAAAACTAATTAAATTAAACATGACAAATAATTTTAAACAGGAATTGAGCAGATACAGTATATGCATAATGCAATATTCATTCCTCCATTTTCCACCCTTATTCAGTACAAGGGGGAGCTGGAGCCTGTTCTGACAAGCAATAGGCACCAGTCAGGATACACACTGGACAACCAGTCCACCACAGGGCACACATAGTCACAAGCATGCACACACTCACACCAGGGCCAAATTTCCCAGAGGCCATTTAACCTAGCAGCATGTCTTTGGACTATAAGAAGAAACCAGAGCACTCGGAGGATACCCACATGAACATCGCAAATAGCACCAAAGGAATTGAATCCAGGGCCCCGATGCTGCAGGGAAACAATACTAATACCTGTGCCCCTGCCATAATGCAATATATTTATTTTAAAGTGCACTACATACAGTAAACTGTACACTCTCAGGTGATCTTTGGAAATTACAGAAAAGACCCCACATGATTCTTACTTTACATTCTTCTTTGACTTTAAGGATTATTTTTAAATGACAGTATGTAGTAAAGATTGAATTTATGCACTAATGTCCAGAACGATCTATTGAAATACGTCTCTTTAAGATCAAGGGAGGACTGAGATACAATTTAAAATGATTCCCATTTTTAAGTTTTGTTTCCTGTTTCCTTTATACAAACCTGTTGAAGCAGAATCACTGAAGCCAACTTGTTTTCCCGTTGTGTTGATAATAGAGTACTGGTTATGTTCTCAGCATATCTTAACTGACAAATCATAAAGAACAAATAGTGTTCTATTATAAAAAAAATAAAAAATAAAACAAGGGGGTTAAAATTCCGGTGCCTTTTTTTTCAAGAGGGTGCATTTGTTTAAAAGGAAACTACAATTTAATTATATATTTAAAAGCTTGAATGCTTTCAGAAAATTGGATGGAATAAAAGTCATAGGTTTTCATCAGAATTTAAAGATGGTTAATTTATAACTAGTGTGCTCTTGCCACACTACGTATTATATAGTTGCAGTTGTCGCAGCTTGCTGTTCAAAACCAAAGTTCTAAATATACCTTAAGTTCTTCAAACGTTCACTGCTGTGTATAAACATTCTGTAAAACTTTCACACAATGGTACCTACAGTACAGTAAGCTGTACAGTAGAAATAAAAAAAATCAATACACCACCTAATTCAAACAATGTAGGTAAAAGGGACTTCTAT